ATCTTGGGTCAAGTATGTACCATTTCCCTCACTAAAATTTCTTCCTTATCAATATAAAAAAAAATAGAAGTAAACCAAATATATTCCCATAATAGGAGAATGGCATATCTAGTCAATAGAATATTATGCAGCCTTTAAAAATAGTTTATGTCCTTAGACCTAACAATTTTATTTTTAGTATTTCTGTTCTACTAAATTTCTGTTCTACAGAAATACTAATAGGATGCATACATACATACAAGGATATGTGCATAACAATGTTGGCTACAAGATTATAATAGTGAAAAGTTGTGACAAAGAAAATGATCATCAGTAGGGAACTGAGTCCAACCATAATGTAGAACACTAGACAACCATTATAAAGAATAAGCAGATATGTATGGATTAACATGAAAGGGTAGCTACAATATATTGAGTACTTTCTAGGTGCCAGAGTATTATGTGATCTATTTTTATTTTTAAAAATAGCTTATTGGAGAATGTTTATATATAGAAAAAGACAAGTTAACAGTTTATCAATAGGATTCTAGTGAAAGGGTGCCAAAGAAGAATTTTATTTTATATCTTACTAGGGGCCCAGTGCATGAATTCATGCACCTTGAAAGGAACTGTGGGCTGCGAGGCTGCAGTGGGCACAGGGGTGGGTCTCAGCCCATCCTCTGCGCCCCCTCCCAGCCCCTCCCACTGCGGCCCCTGGTCCCATGTCTGCCGGCAGCCCTGCTTCCACCCGCACTCCCACGCACTGATGGGGCCATCCCCACAGCAGGTGTGAGAGGCAACTGCCAGCCCCAATCGCCCCTCAGGAGCAGGGGGAGGTGGAGAAGCCCTGAGGGGCAATCGGGACCAGCAGCCGCTACACCCACTGACAGCGCCGAGGATCAGGGCCGGCGCCAGGTGCCAGAAGCGGGTCCTAGCTGGGCTGGCGCTGGCAGCAGGTGCGAGTGCCGGGTGGGACCACAGCACACGGGAGCAAAGAATTTTCAGTAACCACCAGAGGCTTGCCCCGATGACAGTGACCAGCGCCCCACCTTGGTCTGGTGTCCCCGCTCACCTGCTCTACCATCCCACCACAGCCAATGCCCACCATGGTCTGCGCACGCCCTCTGGTGGTTAGCGCACGTCGTAGCGACTGGTTATTCGGTATATATAAATAGATGTATATGTATATTTTTAGCAATAAGCAGTTACTACTTCTGTAATTAAACTTTATAGCACTTAGAGAGGTTTTAACATGGAAAATACTTTTGTTATCATGTTAAGTGCAAAAATGGTATATAAAATTTTATATATGTAATATCACAACTGTGTTTTCTTAAAGTGCATGGAAAGTGATTTGAGCACTGGCTGGTGTGGTTCAGTTGGTTGGAGCATGGCCCTATTCACCAGAAGGTGGTGGTTGGATTCCCGTTCAGGCCACATACCCAGGTGTTCAATCCCCAGTTAGGGCTCGTGTGTGAGGCGACCAATCAATATTTCTCTCCCTCTCTCCCTCTCTCTCTTCCTTTCTTCTCCCTCTCCCACCCCCCTCCTCCCTCCTCTCTCCAAAGTAAAAATAAAAATGTTTTTAAAGTGATTTGAAAAAACACACAACAATGTTCCAGAAGGAGACTTTGGGTAATTGGAATAAAGTTTTTAAATGACCACCATTAAGGGGCAATGTTGGAATCCAGGTAAAACCAGAAAGAACTGGTAGAAGATGAAAGGCTCACCAAACTGGAAATCACGATAAATTTTAGTGCAAGTTCAATAAATGCAGGAACATAGGTAGTTTCTGAGAGCATTAGCTATTAAAAGGTCTTTTTCTGATAATTTGCTGCTATACCAAAATAGAATAAAACTATGTTTATACCCTTTGCCAGAAGATTAAATACAATGCATTAGTAGGTCAAAGAATCTTTTTATGAAAAATATATAGGAAAGCAAATGCAAGATTAAAATAATTCATAAGCCCAGCTGGTGTGGCTCAGTAGTTGAGCGTCAACCTATGAACCTAAGAACCAGGAGGTCACAGTTAGAGTCTCGGTCAGGGCACATGCCTGGGTTGCAGACTCAATCCCCAGTGTGCGGCATGTGGGAGGCAGCCTATTGATGATTCTCTCTCATCATTGATATTTCTGTCTCTCTCCTTCTCCCTTCTCTGAAATTAATAAAACAAACAAAATTGTACATAAGACTATGTGAATTAAATCATTGTTAAAATATTAAGTGTGAAATTGCCTTTTATAATATTTTCATGTACTATAACTCGAAGGAATTAAACAAATTAAAATTTTAGATATTAACTTCAAAGACCAGAAACTCAGTGCCATGTTCCTAAGGTGCTCTAAACAGACTGCTTCACATTCTGTAAATTTAGCTCATAACTCTATCAAAATATATCTGCACTTTTCTCTTTTACTCTCATTTCCTTTTCCTTTTATTCATTGTTTAGTGTCATCAAAGCTTATCCTGATGAAAAATAATTTGACTGATTTTAAGAGAGACCAAAAAGGGCCTGTCATGTTGATAATAATTATGTGTCCTAGAGTCTGCAGAATTTTCTATAGCAAAGTTTAATTCCTGACTGACTTCTAGATTCTTAAAAATCTTATACTCATACACACATTTTCCACTATGACCACTGCCCTCTTTATCCCCATCACCACCACCACCACTAGCTGTTGTATCTGGCATACATATGAATGTTCTGTTCTCTAAGCAAAAATTAATTACAGAATAAATCTAATATAAAATGTATTCCATACTGGAGTATTTTTTCTGAATTACTCTTTCAACTGGGTATGTCTTTAAATGTACCTAATAAGAAGTTGACTGTAATTGGCCTTATTTTTATTCCATTGTGTCCTTTTAATCCTGACTACTATATAATCAGTCATAGAAATTATAATATGAGATTTCAAGAAAGTAAAGTCAGGCCTTTGAGGCATCTTTTTTTCTCATTGGTATTTTTTCTGGGTTAATTTTGGAAAAAGTTCATAGGTTTTTCGCAAAATTTGATGAGGAGTAACAAGTCCCTAAGGTATATTTAGTAGTTTATAGTCTTATAGTTTAATTGACAGGTAGCTAAAAAGTTTTCAAATAGACATTGCTTTAATTTTTTTAATCCTCACCTGAGGATATGTAGAGAGAGGAAGGGAGGGAAGAAGGTTTGTGCCTGATGGGGAATTGAGCCACACCAGCCAGAGCTACATTACTTTAATTTTGTTTTATTTCAATACTATTTGATAATAGGCAAAGTTTACAAATAAGTATTACTGAGAAGGCTTATAGTTTACCACATGTCTAGATTTTATTGTGTCGGTAAACCTCAAGAAAATATATAGACAGTATGTATAATTTCTTGTCTGTTCACTCCATTTTTAAAATGTTCTGTAGTCACGTTGAATATGAAGTGATCCAGAATAATTGAGGTTGTCATTGGTAAAGAATTCTGAACACTTGGATCATGTTCTCATTTAGTTCTTTAACTATGATTAGGTAGAACTTCAAAATTCTATCCTGGCACTTTTGTACCTTAAGGATCAAAGGAGGTATGTGAAAAAGGAATTGGAAACTGTAAAGTACTAGACATATATAAAATGTTATATACTTTGTTTTAAATAAAAGACCCATCTATCTTTAGAATATATTTTAGACTTGCGACAAGCTCCCTGGGCCAGAGGATGGAGGGTGTAGGCCTGTGAGAGGCTGTGGCTGGCAGCAGCTGACCCAGAGGGGCGGGTACAGCGGTCTTCTTGGCCCTAGCTGGGTTGCCATGTCCCGCAGGGCTAAGGACGACTTCTTGCAGCACTACACAGTCTCCGTCCCCTTCTTCTTTCCCTGGGGCCTGTCCTATCTCCTGGCCTTGTAACTTGAGAGACCATTTCTGTATGTAACTGGAATGAGAAAAATGATGAATTCTCAGTTCCCTGACCATACCCGCCAGCATGGAATCAGAGACTCACACTTTGGACCCTGCCTGTCTATCTTAATGTGTGGGCAGTAGCGTTAGTCACTAACCTCTCTGTTTACTCTTCTAGAACTGTAGTCTGCAAACTGCGGCCTCTAGCCAAATCTGGCCCACCACCTTTTTTTTTGTAAAGCCTGTGAGCTAGAATGGTTTTTACATTTTTTTAATAGTTGAAAAAAATCAAAAGAATAACGTTCTGTGACAGGTGAAAATGATATGAAATTTAAGTATTTAAAAATACAATTTTATTGGAATACAAAAAAAAGAATATATTTTAAGGGAACCATGACCATGTGTTCATTTACATTTGGGCTGCAGACTAGGAAGAAGAAACTTGCTTCAGTAATAATAGTTGAGTGGTTCAGTGACCGTCAGCTGTCATTTACTGTCTAATGTTGAAACACAGATGGCATAGTATGACAGGCTATGCCACTGAATAAAAAGTGTACTTTTCTCACCCAAACCTGTTTGGCTCAGTGGATAGAGCATTGGCCTGCAAACCAAAGGGTCCTAGGTTTGATTCCAGTCAAGGGCACATACCTTGGTTGCAGCCTCCTCTCTAGCCCAGGTCCTGGTCGGGGTTCTTGCTGGTGGCAACCAATCAATGTGTTTCACATCAATGTTTCTCTCTGTCTTTCACTCTCTCTTCCACTCTCCCTAAAAAAAAAAAAAAACTATGGAAAATATCCTTGGGTAAGGATTAACAACAACAACAAAAGGTTCTTTTCTCTATTCAAGTTGCTATTTTACTCTTTTTGTTATTACAATCTTTCTTTCCTAGCTGTCAGATTTGTACTATAGGAAGGTAAGATACAGAAAAGATTTGGGGTGAAGTAGTAGAAAAGAGGGAAAAATTTTGTTTTTTCTATCATAGAATGAAAAATACTGTTATTTTACCATACTAAATATGGATGTTTACTTATATCATTGTATATTTGATAAATTTAATTTTTTCTTTTAATCTGAATTTTATAATTGGGTCTAAATTATTATTTCAGTTATTGCACAAGTATCTTTAACACAAATTTGCTAACTTACTCTGTTTCTATAGTTTTCAGCATATGATTTCATCCCTTCGTCAAAATTAAAGCCCTCCCAAGGAATGTCAGTCAATGATGATTTATGTTTTAGCAGAAAAAGAGTATCAAGAAACTTATTTCAAAGTAGTCGGGATTTTAACTCAGATTCACTTCCTGTATGTGCTGCTGGTAAGTAATAGGTGCAGATAATTGATATGTTGAACTAAGTGAAAGATGTCTCTAAACTTTATAGTTTATTTAAGAACTTACAATCTAGTAGACAATTTAGATTCAATAAATATTTGTTAAAGATCTGATAAGAGTGGACACTTAGACATAAATTGTCTCTTAAGACCGTGGAGGGGCTTCTCATTGAAACCCTTTAAGTCCTAATATAAGTCAATATTATTGAGTATCTCCTGTGTCAGGTACTTTCCTAAGTACTGGGCATATAGCTGTCAACAAAGAGGAAAAGCTTTGTGCCTAGTAGATCTTGCAGTCTGTTTGGAATGAAGCAGACATTAAATTAATGTGAAACAGATTAGATGGTGATAAATGCTATGGAAAAAATAAGCAGAGAAGAGGAATATGAAGGAAGTCCTATTTTAAATAATGTATTGAAAGAAGGCCATAGTTAGACAAAAATACTTGAAACAAACTACATAGATACCAAGAAAGAAGAGCAAATAATTCCAGGAAGAGGGAACAGTAAGTGCAGAGTATGGAACAAGTTTGAGAAAGATCAAAGAGCCTGTTGAGTCTGGAATGAAATGAGTAAGAGGAAGAGAAGGAGAAAATGAAACTCAAGAGATATTAGGACCCTAGTCCATTTGTCTCAGTGGATAGAGCGTTGGCCTTCGGACTAAAGGGTGCTGGGTTCAATCCCAGTAGGGGGCACATGCCCGGGTTGTGGACTCAGTCCCCAGTAGGGGGCATGCAGGAGGCAGCTGATCAATGATTCTCTCATCATTGATGTTTCTCTCTCTCCCTCTCCCTTCATCTCTGAAATCAATAAAAATATGTTTTTTTAAAAAGAAACATTAGGTGTTCTTATTTATAAGACCTAATGGGCTATTGAATAAACTTGACATTTACCCTGAATGAGGGACATTTTGAGGAAAGAAATAACATCAATTGCTTTGTTTTGAACATTATATTTATTTATTGTTTATTTGTTTTAATATATTTTTATTGATTTCAGAGAGGAAGAGAGAGAGAGAGAGAGAAACATCAATGATGAGAGAATCATTGATCGGCTGCTTCCTGCACACCCCCTACTGGGGATTGGCCTGCAACCCGGGCATGTGCACTTGACCAGAATCGAACCCAGGACCCTTCAGGCCCTAGACCAGTGATGGTGAACCTTTTGAGCTCGGCGTGTCAGCATTTTGAAAAACCCTAACTTAACTCTGGTGCTGTGTCACATATAGAAATTTTTTGATATTCGCAACCATAGTAAAACAAATGATTTATATTTTTGATACTTATTTTATATATTTAAATGCCATTTAACAAAGAAAAATCAACCAAAAAAATGAGTTCGCGTGTCACCTCTGACACGCGTGTCATAGGTTCGCCATCACTGCCCTAGACCGATGTTCTATCTACTGAGCCAAACTGGCTAGGGCTTGAACATTATATTTAAAATATACTTAAGAAGGGCAAGGGTGAAAACAGGGAGTCTGTTGTAGTAATCCAGGCTAGAATTGATGGGGGCTTTGACTAGAGTAGCAGTGAATGTAATTAAAGTGATTAGATTCTGATTATATGTCAAAGGTAGAGTTGATAGGATTTGTTGATGGATTGTGTATAGAGGGAGGGAGGGAGGGAGGGAAGGAAGGAGGGAGGGGAGGGAGGGGAGGGAGGGGAGGGAGGGAAAAGTCAAGAGTACCATAAGGTTTTCTTGGTTAGAGCAACTAGAAAGATGTTTAATTGCCTAAGTAAATGTTACAGAAAGTAAATAGTAGTTCAGAGTACATTGGCATTGGCATGGGCATATCAGTCAGAAAAGACATTGAAGAGGAGATGGTATTTGAATTTCATCTTTTTGAGATGTATATGATACAAGTAGTTAGATGGGAAGTATGACAAGTGCAAAGGCTTACATTATTGATTTTTTTTTTTTTTAAGAGAGAGAGAGAGGAGGGGAGAGGGATAGAAAGAAAGAAACATCGATGAGAGAGAAATATCATCCATCAGCTGCCTCTTGCACACCCCTTACTGGGGATCGAGCCCACAAACGACATGTGCCCTGACTGGGAATCGAACCAGTGACCTCTTAGTTCTTGGGTCGATCAATGCTCAACCACTAAGCCACACCAGCTGGGCTCAAAGGCTTACATTAAGAAAGGGCTTGAGATATTCTGGGAGCTGTGTAAAGGTAAGATTCACTGTAGATGGTCAAAGATAAATTTGGATTTAGGGATCCCTGTAGCTAAGCTTAAAAAATTGAGCTCATACTGGTAAGCTATAGGGACCTATTGGAGATTTGTTGTTGTTATTGTAAAGGAAAAAAGCTAGTTGATAGTTATTTACAAATGGAATAAAAGGAATAATCAGGAAAATTTGATGACTAGGGGAGTAGAGAAAGATGTCAAAACTTAACACCTGACTAATTAGAAAAATGATCATGTATGTGTTAACAAAATTAGTTGGAAATGAAAAATATTTTATAAGGTAAAGATGGAGTTTGTCATAGATGTTAACTTTTATTTAGTATCCAAATGATATCAGTTACTGAAATTTGTTGACTATGAGTTTGGACACAATATTTAGAAAACATTGTTACCCTAGTAGAATTTATAGATCTTTATGCAGTAGTATTCCATGGTATTTTCATATAAAAATGAAGTGTCATAATGATTGTATAGTTTAATGTTTGTTTTCGGGCCTGCAATTGAGGCATGTGGCATTGTCCAGAGTTGAACCCAGGATCCTTCAGTCCAAAGGCCAATGCTCTATTCACGAGCCAAACCTGCTAGGGCCTAGTAGTACAGTTTTTAAATAACTGAATGATAAGACAACCTATAACCCAAATCTAGATTGGATGTTACAGATTATAAGTATATAGGAATTCAAGAAAGGAAAAGATAATAGGTGTTGAAGTGATTTATAAAAATACCAAGAAAGAGGCTGGACTTTAAGAACAAAGGGTTGCCCTAACCGGTTTGGCTCAGTGGATAGAGCATCGGCCTGCGAACTCAAGGGTCGCAGGTTCGATTCCGGTCAAGGGCAAGTACCTTGGTTGCGGGCACATCCCCAGTGGGGAGTGTGCAGGAGGCAGCTGATCGATGTTTCTCTCTCATCAATGTTTCTAACTCTCTATCCCTCTCCCTACCTCTCTGTAAAAAATCAATAAAATATATTTAATAAAAAAAAAAGAACAAAGGGTCTGTGATTGGCAGTGAGGCAAAAGGGACTATTGCAGGTAGGGAGAATAACAAAAGCATGAATGTGAGAATTAACCTAGAAGATGTCCAGTACCTGAAGGATAAAGGGACTTGAAATTTTAAGAAGAGAATTTTTAAAATAGTTTTAGAACTGCAAGTGATCAGCTGATTTTATATATAAACTAGAGGCCTGATGCATGAAATTCATGCAAGAGTAGGCCTTCCTTCCCCCAGCTGCTGGCACCGGCTTCCCTTGAAGCCCTGGCTTCATCCAGAAGGTCGTCTGGAAGGACGTCCAGTCTAATTAGCATATTACACTTTTATTATTATAGATAAACTAGAGGCCCGGTGCACAAAAATTTGTGCACTCCGGGGGGGGGGGCTCGGGGGCTCCCCCAGCCCGGCCTGTGCCCTCTCACAGTCTGGGACCCCTCGGGAGATAACGACCTGCTGGCTTAGGCCTGCTCCCGGGTGGCAGAGGGCAGGCCCAATCCCTAAGTGCAGCCCCTGGTCAGGCTCAGAGCAGGGCTGATTGGGGAGTTGGGGCGCCGCCCCGTCATGCACAGAGCAGGGCGGATCAGGAGGTTGCAATGCCACCCTCAGTCACGCTCAGGGTAGACTGATTGGGGGGTTGGGGCACCGCCCCCTGTTACACTCAAGGCAGGGTCGATGGGGAGGTTGCGGCGCCACCCCCTGTCACGCACAGAGCAGGGCCCATCAGGGGGTTGGGGCGCTGCTCCCTGTCACTCACAGAGCAGGGCCGATCAGGGGGTTGGGGCGCTGCCCCCTGTCACTAACAGAGCAGGGCCCATCAGGGGGGTTGGGGCGCTGCCCCCTGTCACTAACAGAGCAGGGCCCATCAGGGGGGTTGGGGCGCTGCCCCCTGTCACTCACAGAGCAGGGCCCTTCAGGGGGTTGAGGAGCTCCCCC